AGTATATAAAATTCAAATTGCAATAACTCTTGAATCAGTAAGCCCACACAAATAAAATTATATTTATCGACTTTATTTAGATGTGCTCTTTAAAGTAACAGCGCTCTTTTTTTTTATTTTCATTGTAGCGGAGGACTCAAAGTAGTACCAAAATTCTCGTTTTTGATGACTTTCTAATAAAAATATCAAAAACGTAACTTTGAATTTCCTATCTGTCGCTATTGCATAAAAACTTCAAAGTTACGTTTTTGATATTTTTATTAAAAATGAATCAAAAATGAGAATCTTGGCACCACTTTTAGTCCTCCGTTACACTCCAGACAATGAAAATAAAAAAAAGAGCGTTGTTACTTTAAAGAGCACATCTAAATAAAGTCGATAAATATAATTTTATTTGTGTGGGCTTACTGATTCAAGAGTTATTGCAATTTGAATTTTATATGCTTTTACTATTTACGCTATCGACAACCATGCAGTATTATAAAAAATTTGACAAATGATCATCACTATATTGTAGACTTGCATCGAACTAGAGTGTCCAGGGTGCTGCTGCCTTAACCGACAAGCTCTGCTGCGATTGCCGTTAGATTTGCGAATTCTGCGGCGACATATAAATAATACTTTAAAAAACAAAATTACGACAAAAAGAATTTCTAAAGAAAATTCCAATTTCATCACAATAGGCATATTCACCAATAATTTTTATTCTGCTCGCAGAATTCTGTACGAATTCTGCGCAGGTCTGCCACCGCAGTACCCTGGACACTCTACATCGAACACCCCAACGTATTATGTTAACACAGTGGCAAGCATTACTATTTTATCTTTGCATGCAGGTTATAATACGTAATAAGTTTATCATTATTTGTTCTTAATCATTAACAATGCATTTATTCTCCGGACTTAATAACTTATCAAAAAGGAGTCAAAAGTACGGAAAATGCGTGCAATGTGGAGAATACAACACTTCTCCAGCCTGGTGCCAAAAATGTGATCCCGCAAGAATAGTAAAATGGGGGTCAAGTGGAAATAGCGATATCGATTATTATATTAAAAAATCCCAATTCAAGGCTACAAATTATTATGACATTATCGAGTGGATTCCTTTTAGTAACTTGGAAAACATACAGAAAATTAGTAAAGGATACATGGGTGCAAAATTTTTAGCAGTCTGGATAGATGGCATACGATTAATTTCTCTAAATAATAAAAAATACATGCAATCTCGTACACCACCATATATTGTTATGCTTAAAACTCTTCCCAGTTCACAAATTGATTTTTTAGAAGATGTAAGTTAGCATTTTTATGTATATTGTACTTGATTAATCAATTTATTTACATAAGTTCTATTATATTTATTTCTAACGCTGAAAACATGTACAGTCAATTAATAATTATAAATTACTTGGATTTACTCAAAACCCATCCACCTGTGAATATATGATAGTATTTGATGAGTTTTATCATAAAAGATTTTCTGATTTTGGGGCAGTGCACACATTGCAAGAGATACAACACTTCTCCAGCTTGGTGCCGAACATGTGATCCTCCAAGAACAGCATGGGAATGGACAAGTGGAAATAACGATATTGATGATTATATTAAAAAATCTCAACTTAATGCTACAAGCTATGATGAAGTTATTGAGTGGATTCCCTTTAATAAATTAGAAAACATACAGAAATTTAGCGAAGAAAACTTAAATATAAACTTTTTGGCAGTCTGGGTAGATGGCATACGATTAGTTTTAAGAGTTGATGGAGAACACACACTATCACGTATCCCACGATATAAAGTTACACTTATGACTTTTTCTAATTTACAAATGAATTCTGTTGATTTTTTGAAGGAAGTAAGTTATTATTTAATGTACAGTATATAATTTTAATAAGGTATTTTATATATTCATAAATTCTATCATAACATATTTCTTTCTAAGGTTGAAAAATATATAAAATCAGCTAATGATTGTAAATTATTTGGATTTACTCAAAACCCAACCACTTTTGAGTATATGATAATGTTTGATAAATTTTATCATAAAAGATTTTCTCGTAATGGAAAATGTGTACAGTGTGAAAGATACAATACTTATTTAGCTTGGTGTTATCCATGTGATCCCATAAGAACAGTACAAGGGCGAACAAGTGGAAATAACGTAATAGATGATTATATTAAAAGATCTCAACTTAATGCTATAAGATATGATGAGTTTATTGAATGGATTCCTTTTAATAATTTAAAAAACATTCAGAAAATTAGTGAAATAGGCTTAAATACAATTTTTTTAGCAGTCTGGATAGATGGCATACGATTAGTTTCTTTAGATAATAAGCAATCACGTACACCATTATGTACAGTTACACTTATGACTTTTTCTAATTTACAAATAAATTCTGTTGAATTTTTAAAGGAAGTAAGTTGGTATTTTAATGTGCATTAATTTATTACGATATTTATATTTATATAAATTCTATCATATTTCTAAGGTTGACAAATATATACAGTTAACTTATGATCATAAATCATTTGGTAAATTATTTGGACTTACACAAAATACATCCACTAAGGAATATATGATAGTGTTTGATCATATAAGAGATTCTTTTAACGGACGATGTTCACGCTGTAACCGATATTACACGTCTCCAGCGTGGTGCCAAACATGTGATCCTCCAAGAATTTCACAAAAATGGACAAGCGGAAATAAGGGTATCGACGATTACATTAAAAAAATTCAACTTGAAGCTGCAGGACATGAAAAATTATATCGGCTTCAAATTGACGGACTCCGAAATTTATTAAATGGTTTTGATGAATATTTTGAGGAATATTTTGAAGAAGAATCAATTTTTTCAAGTAGTGATCTAATTGAGGTATATTCTTTCATTTTTGTTGAAAGCACAGATATTATACATGCTACAAAAAGTTTTTATGGAGAACTAATTTTTTCAAATATGTCAGAAAATGGTACAGAAGAAGAAAGCAAAGTAATTTGGTATGGTCAGATAATAATAAATTTTAATGTGTATTGATTGAGTATATTACTGTAAATAAAGCAAACTTATTTAATTAATTAAAATTGATATAAAATAAGGCTTTATTACTTTTTAAGTATTACAGACACAGAATAAAAGAACCGTATAAACTCATTCTAATTCATTAGTACGATACATTTGAAGAAAAAGTATGGAGATACTTTAAAGTAGAATTAATTGATCATTATAGTTGTATACCAGTAGAAAGTATAGACAAAACTGTTAATGTAGTTCCAAGATTTGGTAAAATGAATGAATATCTAATAAACAACTATATATTTTAGTTGTACAAAAAAATGGTATACAATAAAAATCATTCTATCATGTGATAAAAAAATTCATTATATAAATAGCAAATGTTATCCTATTTTTTCCTTTTTGATCCACCTAAAACTTGGATATTACAATATCTAAAAATAAAGTGATATTTTATCCAAGATAATTATAACTTCAAAAATGAAATGTAATAATTTTTTTAAGATATTTAGATGCTTAATTAGAAGGTTATATATTTCAGGAATTGCATAGTATCTATTGATGATTTAAAGAACAATCTTTATATGAAATATCACAGAGCAGATTTTTAAAAGCTTCGGTCACAAGTTCAACCAAGTAAATTCTAAACAAATAGTTTAATTATATATATAAGAACTATACTATTGTGTATTGACCAAAAGACCTGAGTATATTGTATGTGGTACTTTGTACGGTTTTATATATGTAATTCAGAAATCAGTATATGATAATATAAAAATACCTTTTAAGAACAATTACATGTGGTATTTTAACTAAAAAAGAGGTACTTCGGTCAATACTACAGTAATAACAACATATCTTTTATGAATAGCAATGCGTTATTATTAATTAATCTTTCAAGAAAAATCTTTTTTTTATTATAGAATTGCTAAGATATTGTGGAGAAGCTTTCTACATGATGAAAAATTATAAAGATAAATTCTTAATAAATTCAAATTTAGTATAAGCAACAAACACCTACGAATTTGTTTATTTAATGAATTCAGATAACAAACTTCTATTTATTAAGGCATAACGATTTATCACTTATATTTATTAATGTTATGTGCTGTGAACACTTAATTCTTAGTTGATATATTGGCAAAAAGAAATGTAAGTTTCTTGCAAAAAAACTTTGCAGCATTTTACCTTCTTGAGTTAATGTGAATTTTCTTAACAGCCCGGTTTTCTACCTATAGCCACCAGTAGTGCTGGATACATAATTAGATCTAATAATAACGTTTATAGTATTTTAAAGGCCAACATATTGGTAGTTACTATCTACCTTTGCATATTATTAACCCATCAGTCCTACTAATATCTATTGTTAGATATCGGTGATAAATGCCTACTGGTAGCTACCAACTCACAACTATTTTTAAGTATTCATTTTTCTTTTGATTCTAAATGAAGATTTGTATTAATTCTTTTTTTTTTTAATGTTTTATAAACTTGCCTTTAAAATATGCATGTGCATTTTCCATTACTCCAATTAATCATCTATTTTCTATACTACTTGCAACTTTAACTATCTTTCTAGTTAGTTAATAACTTTTAGAATTTCTCTATAATTCTATAATCTTGACTAATTTTTTCTTTTTTTATAAGGCTTAATAAGCCTTAGAATTTTGCTAATGTACAATGTTTTTTTGTTCTTGTATTATAACTAATAAATTTTTCATTTGGCATTTTTATATATAAGTTATACATGATAGCTCTTTATAACAAACCTTAAGAACAATGGAATACAGTGTAATATATAAGTGTATAGTGGGTTTCTGAGAAGTATAGTAAATTATTGAGCACACTTTTTAGATATAGTACTGTATAGCATTGTATACAGTACTCTGGAGTTTTATACAAGAGCTCTATTTTTTAAATTAAATAGTACCTTTGGGTAGGGTTGGCACATTTATCTATTAGAGCAAATAGAGAACAACTCCATTAACATTGCTCTATTGCTCTATTAAGAATAATTTCTAAATGAAGCCAATGAAAGCCAACCAACTCCTGTTTATCAACAGGTTAAGCTATCATTATATGAGACTAGAGATTAGAACTCTATTTTTTGTTGGCTTTCTATTAGAGCTATTAGCTTCACTAGGTTCTTCACTAGTTTCATTAGATTTCTCAATTAGTATCATTGGTTCTATTCACTCCGTTGGCTCTATTGGGCTTCATTCGCCCATTGGTAATTTTCTTAATAGAATGTATCCATTGCCAACCTTGCCCATAGATACTGTATGAGAAACTGGATATCAAATATAGAAATATATCATATAAAAGGAATAAATTAAATATATTATCTACTTTTGAATATTATTCAAGAATTAAGCCAGAGGTGAGTAAATAATACCCAGGTTCTAATAAAGAAAAGTATTATTTTGGAGATACTGTGTGTGATACTATATGGATATATCATGTTACTATATGAGTACTGCCGAAAGAAGTAGGACTTCAGTCTTTCAATTATTTATATTGGACATAATTTATCTATTTGTTAGAGACTACATTTAATATGAAATATAATTGAAAGATCAAAGTTCTGTTTCCCTTGGTAGCACTAATATAAAGTTGATTATATCATTTTATTACTTTAATTACTAGTTTATATATAAATTTTTTTAATATATATATTAATACAAATATTGTATTCTTCATTTACCAATACTGTCATTAGAAAATCCTAATATCTTTTGTTTAAAAAGAGTAGAGATTATCTAGTAGTAAAACAAATAATATAAAATGCACCTATGGTGTTGTTGGTGTTAATATATTTTTAGGATTAGAGTGCAATTTTAAGAATTATATATATATATATATATAATAATATATATTAGATATAAGGTTCTAATTTTAGTTTTTATAAAGTTTTTGGGGGGTCCTAAGCATTTTTACTTAGAATACCCAATCCTGTTTACTTAGTACGTTTTTGAGAAATAGAGACTACATCGGGAAATTTTTTTAGCCGATTACTAACGATTACCAACCAATAATCGATGATCATCGATAAAAAAATATCGATAGTCATCGGTATGGGTGATTATAATCGATAGTTAACTCTAAATGATAACTATCTAAATGATTAAAAACGATGACTATCGTAAACGATGTTCATCTAAAATGAATAAAAACGATAGTCATCATTATTTGGCTAATAATTTTTTTTTTGGTTTAATTCTCTTTGACCGGGTTGGTGATTTCGCTTACAACTTATTCTCTTTGATCGAGTAGGCGATTTCAACTATACCTACGTTTACAATTTGTTCTCTTAGACCGAGTAGGTGATTTCAACGGTACTTCGCTTATGACTTGTTCTCTTTAACCGGGTAGGTGATTTCAACTGTACCTACGTTTACAATTTGTTCTCTTTGACCGGGTTGGTGATTTTGTACCTACGCTTACAATTTGTTCTCTTAGACCGGGTAGGTGATTTCAACGGCACTTCACTTATGATTTGTTCTCTTTAACCGGGTAGGTGATTTCAACTGTACCTATATTTACAACTTATTCTCTTTGATCGGGTTGGTGATTTCATTGTACCTATGCTTACAATTTGTTCTCTTAGACTGGGTAGGTGATTTCAATGGTACTTTGTTTATGACTTGTTCTCTTTGACCGGGTTGGTGATTTCAATTGTACCTACGTGTACAATTTGTTCTCTTAGACCGGGTAGATGATTTCAATGGTACTTCGCTTATGACTTGTTCTCTTTAACTGGGTAGGTGATTTCAACTATACCTACGTTTACAATTTGTTCTCTTTTGCCGGGTTGGTGATTTCAATTGTACCTACGCTTACAATTTGTTCTCTTGTACCTACGCTTACAATTTGTTCTCTTAGACTGGGTAGGTGATTTCAACGGTACTTCGCTTATGACTTTTTCTCTTTGACCGGGTAGGTGATTTCAACTGTACCTACATTTACAACTTATTCTCTTTGATCGGGTTGGTGATTTCAATTGTACCTACGCTTACAATTTGTTCTCTTAGACCGGGTAGGTGATTTCAACGGTGCTTCGCTTATAACTTGTTTTCTTTGACCGGGTAGGTGATTTCAACTGTACTTACGTTTACAATTTGTTCTCTTTTGCCGAGTTGGTGATTTCAATTGTACCTACGCTTACAATTTGTTCTCTTAGACCGGGTAGGTGATTTCAATAGTACTTTGCTTATGACTTGTTCTCTTAGATCAGGTAGGTGATTTCAACTGTATCTACGTTTACAATTTGTTCTCTTTGACTGGGTTGGTGATTTCATTGTACCTACGCTTACAATTTGTTCTCTTAGACTGGGTAGGTTATTTCAATGGTACTTCACTAACTTATTCTCTTTGACTGGGTAGGTGATTTCAACAAGTTTCTTTAATTTATAATTGTATTAAACTAGTTAAATAATTAAATTAAATTTATTTATAATGCATTTTATTTAAATTATGTAAACACTATAAGAATGTACTTTATTTAAAAAACAATATATAAATAGAAATAGCAATATTTATTATTAATTGCATAAATATTATATAATAAACATTATTTTTACTATTTAATAGTAACATGTTCGGTTATAATATTATAATAATTTCTTATAGTAATCGCATAAATTTTATCCTCATCCTTATCATAAGAAATTTGAGGTTCAACAATTAATGTGCTTTTTTCATTTACATGTATTGAAGTCTATGGTTTAGTAATGATGGGGTTTTCTTGACATTCGCGTTGATACTGACATTTGCGATCATCCCATGATCTAGCAATAATTAGTTGTGGATCTCTTGCAGTATAGGTGAGACTATTAATAAAAAGTATAATTAATCAATT